GGGGAGCTGCGAGCGGGCGCCCTGCGCGCGTCCCTGCGAACGCGTTTCTAAAGGGCAGGCTGCTCGCGTTTCTCTTTTGGGGCGATCTGCTGGAACTGCAAGGCCCCTCCTTGCACGCGAGAACAGAAGGGCAAGTGGGGTGCCCCCGCGAGGCCCCCGTGGGAGGGGGCGTGAGAGCATGGGAGCAACTGTCTGTGGCCAACGCAGCCTTTGTTCACAGTCGGCAAAGGTATTTTTAGTTGTGGTCTAGCTTTGCATTATGGATGAATTTTTCTTACGCAGCCCCAGAGGAAGTTTCCTCCTCCTGAAGTTGTCTTTGGGCACGACTTTAGGAGTTGCTTTTTCTAGATTTTTTTTTTTTTTCCAGTCTCAACTTGGAGCCCCCTAGGTTGCCTCCCCGCCTCCCCATAACATCGCATGACCATTTGGGAGGGACTGAGATCAGCTGATGAATTTGTCTGCTGCAAACATCTGTCTGGGGCAAGTGGCACCCTTCTATATTGCTCTTACAGACTGGATTATCATGTTAATACTGCCTCGATCTGTGCGTTTTGTTTTTCCAGCTTTAAAAGACACCCTGGATTTGATTGCAAAACAATCAGAAGAGCTGGAAAACCACGTGGCGCGCTTGTACAAGTCAGTCCTAGCTGCTATGGAGCCTGGGCAGGGCGAGGATGCGCTAGAGGATGTCGGCGTGTGGCAAACAGCTGCTCAAGCAAAAGCAGCTAAATGGGTAAGCAGGGGAGCAAGCCAGCCTTTCTCGTGGCGGTGGAAGAAGAGAGGGAGGTGTAGGAAGATACGCACTTAGATTAGCACACGCTGTAAATGGGTCTTTATTTTAATCGGACGTTTGAAAAGTCTAAAGGAAGAGGAGACCAAAGGCGATCTTAAAGGAGGAGGAGGAGACCAAAGGTGACCTCTCAGTAGGCGCCTGCAGTCTTTAGGTGAACGAGACGCAGCTATGTGAGATAGGTGGCCGAGGCGAGGGGAGATAAAATAGAGGCAGTGTGAGTTAGCGAGCCAGCTGCTGAAAGTGGAGGAGAGGAGAGGAGCCCTGCCAGGAGCTCCGGAGGGGCCTGCTGAAAAGGGGAGCAGGCAGGTAAACGCTTCTCGCAGGTGGCCGGCGCTCGCGTTGGAGGTGAGTGAGGTCAGCAGCCCAAGCGAAGGCGGCCGCTTTACGGAAATCACGCGGGCAGCGGAGAGAGAGACTGGGACGGTTTTTCAAAGAAAACAGTCTCTTTGCATGTAATGATGATGGACACGTGAAGTCAAGTGTAGAAGGGGCTGGAACCCTATTTGCCGATGTCTTGACTGTCTTCAGGTAAAACGCGGCAGAGACGAAAGCGCTTCAGATGCGGCTGCCATAGCGTAATCGGGGGGGGGTTAGTATTGAGCAGTGGTTGAAGAAAAGGACGCATCAGTGATCTGCTCAAATTTGTGCCGAAGTGCATGCAGCACCCCCTCCCCATCACTAGCTCCAAGTGGTGATTTCACCTGCGCCTACGCCACAGACCACCTTTAAATTTTGAGCTGCAAAGGTCTTTCTGAAAAGTCAGATGGGAGTAACAATGACTTAAGTAGCTTTTTTTTTAAGTGGTAGAGGTACACAGCTGTATTTTATCCTCTAGCAAGCACATGTGGTGATTTAAAGATGGCCCTTATTTATTTAAAGGATTGCAGCCACCTCCTTGTAACAAACTTTTCCTTTTTCCTTTTTTTTTTTTTTCCTTTCTTTCTTTCTTTACTCCAGGCAATGCCTCTAGCAGACATGGGATTTATCAGCCAGTCTCTGGATGGGTGAGATGAATTCCAGCAAGGAACAAAACACTACTTTCAACTCTCATAGAGATGCCAAAAGACAGACATATAATCACTGTGTATGGAATTAGCCCCCCCCCGCAGGGCTGATTTCTGTTTGTTTTTTTTAACCATTGCTTGAAAAAGGCAAGCTGTACAGAAGTTACCTGGCTACTGGTACTTCTAGTTAATGTTGCTGACTAAGTTGGGGAGCTCTGTGAGTAAGGAATGTACAGCTGGCCTTGGGGGGAAGTGTGTGGTCCCCCCCCCCACTTTTTCTTTTTTAATGTAGCTTTCAGTTTTTATAGAAGTGGCTTGTTCCATGTTTTGGCAAAACGTCAGGAACATAATGTTTTTCAACTGAGTAATCCATAGTTTGCAGTGCAACTGTCTTTCAAGTAAAGAAAGATGTGTGATTTTAATAGAGGTGTTCTCTTATTTATTTATTTATTTGTGCTCTTTAAAATTAGGTGCTAGCAGCCAAGAAGTAGCAACTACGTCTGGTTCCTGGGAGCAACCTGAACTCTTGTTTATAACTAACTGTCATGCACTGCTGAAGCAGAGGCTGTGTGTTTTAACTTTGCTTTGTTTGTTAAAGTATTGCACCTTTGCATTTATATATATGCGAAGCCTGGTAAAATAACACCCCCAGGTTTGTGCTCCCAGGCAAGAGCCACAGTTATGTATGAGCTGCTGTTATCTGCGGCAGTTCTGTAAGGCAATGCTGTGCTGGCTTCCCTGTGCAAGGAGGTTTGTGTCCCCCTATAGCTAATGCTGGTCCTCAGTACTCACAAACCCCTCAGAAAGGGACTCCGAACAGTTTTTTTTTTTGAAAGACAAACCAGCACACGTGAAGAGGCTTAACAGGGTGTCTGAAAAGGTTACTGCCAATGAGAGAGTGTTGGTACTTTGTTTTACTTAACCTTTAAACTAAATAGTTGTCATCATGTTCCCATAAAGAATACATCATTTCCTCCCATTCTTGTGAACAGAATGGCTAGAAGTGAACTTTGCATACTCTCCGAGTGGAAGGGGAAAGCATAGTTTAACTAAAGCAGTTAACCAACTCTGGCTTGTGCAGGTTTGCAGGTCTCAAATGCTAGTTTTTTTTTGTTTTTTTTTTTTAAATATGCTCCCATATTCCACCCCCTCAGCGTAAATGCTAAGTCACAGCTGACAATTCCTGTAGATCAGCATAAGATGAAAAAGGCACAAGCAAATGGGTACCATGAGGTTGATCCTTTGGATTCCCCTCCATTCATTCTCATACCTATGGGCATTCAGGGTGACCCTTAGCAGAAGCCTGGAGCAGAAAAGGTCCAGGCTTTCCTTGCACATTGACACTTCCACCTATTTTGCGTGCAAGAAATAAGCTACTGCTACCTGTTTGCTACTGCTTTGAGTTTTAAGCCTGACACAGTATGTTAAAGCTACTTAACATCTCAATGCTTTGGTGAGACTACAATTCCAGGCACTGTTCCCTTGCCTATGATTTTTAGGCCTACTCTTCACTCTCCTCAATGCAACTCCAGCCTCTTCCCCAGCTCCAGTACTTAACAGTACCAGCACATTACCACAGTAAGACTTAGTTTAAAAAAAAAAAAAACACACCACTGAACAACTGGTGTAGCCCAAGTTGGTTTTGCAATGCTTTTATTACTGTATATATTAACATTGTTTTGGATAGTATGTAGCAGGCATCTTGACATTTAAGTTCATTTGTGCAGTTCTCTGAAGGGAAGATGTTTTACCCTCGACACACCTCCTTCTGCTCAACTTCCTGATCTTAGCAGCACTCACTACTCCTACTGCTCCTGCTTCCTAGGAGCAAGTCACATATAATGAATTATACCAACAAGCACATCTCTAATAGAAAGCACATCACTTTTATTGTGAAGGTCTCAAGTAGAAGAGTTCAACTTAACCATGACAGTATTTTTATGTATTACAATTGCCTGTTGATTGATGCAACTATGTTGAAGAAAGCTGTTAGCCAAAGTTCCCCCCCCCCCCAAAAAAAGAGGATATTTGCACCAGTTTCAGTTTATACCTCACAACATACCTAGGCTATAGTTTTACTATCACAGGGTGTATTTACTACTAGGGGAATGTTACATGGTCTTTCAAACATGAGACTATTTACAGAATAGGCTGAACATTTGAGTTTAGATAAAGCTGAACAATTTTACATGTATAGGAAGTGTTATAGGCTAGCTTTCCTGTGGCTTTTAGCTAGACATCAGGCACTAATGATTTGATTAGCTCTGTACAAAGAATCACACACTGTCCAAAACCTCTTGGCTGCTGGTTAGTTCCAAATTGCTGGAAATAGCGCCTACTTTGAGCAACAGTCTGGTGGGGGTAGGGTCTTACCTGGCCAGTAAGATCCCTTGTCCCCATTTCATCCTTCTGCTGCCTTTATGCATAACAGAATAGGAACTAAGCTGTTGCACTAAGTCAAAAGAGTATCAATTAAAAGAGGATGGAAGTAACAGTATATAGAAAAGACATAATATACTGGTAGCATTACACCACCTCAAGGTTACTTTGAAGTCATTCGTGTTAGGAAAATACTGTTCTCCCCTACTACACAGAGCAGACAAAAATCCCTAAATCAAGTCCTTGAGAAATAAATTAAGTTCCAAGACTAAGATAGGGAGTTGCTGTACATTCAGAATGCATTATGCCTCCATGAACATCAGCTGGGTGTTCCAGGTACAGGATACATGCCTTAAGCACCATGACAACTCAGTCTTTTGGGCCATAGTCACTAGTTTCACTTGTGGGGAAGGTAGCTGGTCTACTAGAGGGGCTGAGTGCCACGGCTGCACAAAGATATGTTTTTGTGCACAATGCAAGCCTGATTTCCCCCTTAGCCATACAAATTAAGACAATATTTATCACCATACAGTTTGATATTACTTCCAATAAGTACAATATTTATTAAACATTTCTTCAGTTTTGTTACATATTGTGCAACAAATTACAATATTCTGCAGCCACAAATTATATGCAGAGTATGAAGAAACTATTAATCAGATAGTGTGATCTCTCCATTTATAATTCTACAAGAAGGAACTAGTAAATCAGATCTTACATATACCTTACTAAATTTTATGCATGGAAAGTGACAGACACTGTTGTGCTGTTTGATACAAAATGGCTAAACTTCATCTTCAGAAGACTAAACCTGACATCTAAACATGCCAATAGAAACATCAAAACAAAAATACATCCTAACCAACCACAGGAAACAGTCTGGTATCAGGAAAAGCAACAAGGATTACACATTTATAAACCAGCACACAAAGGTTTAAAACAGTTCTGAAAATGAAGTTAGCTGTCTTGAGTCAAGGGAATAAAAAAAGTCAGTATTGACCATTTACAATCTCTGACCTTTGTGGAGACGGTAAGAATCTGTTGTAGTGCAGCTACATACAGTACAATTCAGGCAATTTTTTTTCACTTGGGTTCAGATTGCAAATTCATTGTTGTGAGACAAAAGGGGGGAGGCAAGTTTTAGCAGCAACCTCCACTAGACTGCTTGACTGGAGTGCTCTGAATTTTAACATTGGATTTCTCTGCACCACCAGCTGTAGCTCCAGGACCCATTCGTTTTTTAATCTCAGCAGCCATGGTCATGAAAGACTGTTCTACATTTGTGGCATTCTTTGCACTGGTTTCCAAAAATGGAATTCCAAGAGAATCTGCAAATTCCTGCAAATTGAGAAACAGCATACAGTTGAGAAGCAGCATACAGTAAGTTCATACCTCACCTTTAGCCTGGTGCTCCTCCATGTAAACCACAAGTTCTAGACCACCATCCCACTCCTAAACTCCAGTTTCATCGCTTGCACTGAAGTACTCAAGGGTTCGTTATGCCACTGACATTTACGGCACATTTATATCTACATACCAAGATACATCATTACATCAGAACTCAATCAAGCACATTATGATCCAGATTAGGTGCTCAACCAAGCAAGACTATATTAACATCAACATACCTTGGCTGTTGTATAGTCTACTACTTTCTTTGTGGTCAGATCACATTTGTTCCCCACCAACAACTTGTTGACGTTTTCACTGGCATAACGGTCTATCTCCTGCAGCCACTGTTTTACATTATTAAAAGACTCCTAGGAGGTAAGAGAAGCGTAAGAAGAGATCCCTAACCAAAATGAGAGCTCAGTGCTATTCACTAATAACTTGGAAAGAATGTAAAGCAACATACTTAATTTTGCAATGTTCTTCACAGCCAGAAGATACAAAAGACCTTCTTTAAGTACTACTGTACTTATCCACACAGAACTCCCCTAACTCCCTCAGGGGAGTCAACATAGGGTCTATAGCTCTTCAATCCATTGAGTCAAGTCCTACACAATCACCACTTCCTCCCTTGCTCCACTCCCCCCCTTTTCCCCTGCTCACTCTTACATAGCCAACATCAATTTCCAATATCAGCGACTACTCCTCCTCTTCCTGTATGAGGAGTGAAGACATGGCACATAGCTGAAAGCAGAACATAATCTCAGGCACTTGCAAAACACCAGGTGTTAGCTGTAAACCGCGTCAGTTGTGGAGACACTGGAACCACCTTTGACTCCAGAAACGCAGAACCACCATGCTGAATTGGCATTCAAGCTAGTGGCTGAACTTGCTTGTTCCTTTTCTATTAATTCAAGGAACTTTATACTTCAGGAGCCCTACAAACAGGGCTACCACATCCGTGATCTTTGCAGATTCCTTCTCAGAAAACACTGGCTTAGTTACATCCTGCACACATGCTGAAAACTTTCCATTTCAGAGGCAAATTCTTAAGTGCAAGTATCTTCAGAAATCTTTCAACTTCAGGCAGTAGTTCAGACTTCCTGCTGCCAAATGCAGGTTGGCAAGCGTTCACATGGAACAGTTAACTGCCCCACAAGTCTTCAGCTAGCCTAAGATGCAACTGCTTTAGAGCCACATAGCCTAGTGTTCCCTTTATTTCTATGTTTGGCCCCAAACCAGAAATTAGCATGCATTTAGCTTGATAAACATTAATGCAGTCTGGAGAACACAGATCACAGACTCCTTCAGAAATGCTGTGTTGTAAAATTCTGTCATGCAAAAGCATCAAATTCCAAGTTCTGTTGCCTTATCAGCCAAGTGCATTCCATCTTGGGACACACTGTAGGCACAGAGGTTTAGCGCTTACCTGATCTGTAACATCATACACAACTATGATGCCATGAGCTCCTCTGTAGTAACTGGAAGTGATAGTTCGAAATCTCTCCTGTCCTGCTGTGTCCCACTACAAGACAAACAGATCAGTTGCTGCAGTTCACCTGTATCAGTGTTGTGCAGAAATAGCTTGCAGAAAGCAAAAAAAGCTTGCAGAAATACAACTGTTCCATTTTGGACAAGTGTAGT